CTCATTGCAACTTAATTACATCAAATCTCGGAGATAATGGAAAAATCATGCAAAGTTCTGAATTGGGCAATGTTGGTAGATCAGTTGGATCAAAAACATGTAAAACAGGTACAATCAACATGGATACTTGATGGGAAGCTTATTCATCATTTGCAATTATGTTTTCGCCGCAGGTGGTAGTGGGGTAGCTAGCTAGAAAGTTCGGTCCATGCGAAGTTCTGCGCAAACCACTCGAAAGGAGCAAAGGCTTTGAGCAAGCTCAGAGCAATTTTTTGAATCACGTTATTGTGTTTTGAGCATTCTGTGATAAACTGCCACACATGCTCATAAATAGTTTGATACTAAATATAAAAACACGTTGATCTGGCATCGTGAGAGTGCACCACCCTTCAAGGTCTTTAGCCACTATTCTCAGTCAACGAGGAAAAATTATTGGTTTCAGGAGTTCAATATGGTTGAAGTCATGGAAAAGTGGCAGAGACCAAAACGCGCGCACAAGCATGATCATTTCCTTTTGGTGCTCGACTTTTTGCGCCACTTCTTTCTAAATGTAAGCGACAGATAGATGAAGATGATAAGGTCGTCTTGTAATCACCGTTTAGGCCTGCGAACCACCTACGGAAATTCAACAGTACGCCTGTAGACAGAGCGGGAAGAAGGAGAAATTTGACCATCTTAAGGACCTCCCGGAAGGATTAGTCGATTTCTTAATAAGTGGGTCAATGTGTGTTTGAGTACATTACTTTCAATAACTGATTTAGGTTTCATCCTTGACGCCCTTGGCCTACACCGCGACCAACTTCTGCGGACGCCAGATGAGCATAAACGGAATCCAAATAAGTATGTATGTTCTCGAAAGACCTTCATGTGCACTAGAATTTAGGTGGTGGTTGGACTTAGCCGAAAATGACGACGCTTGCGAAAAATTATTCGACGTCCTCTCAGAGGAAAGAGTAGTATGGAGCGGTAAGGCGAGGATAGCAAATGGGAGAGCTTTGTGAGTTTTCTCATAAGGAAAGCGATACTTCTGAACTATATTTTTGCAGGGAAGACATCGGGAGGTATCATTTTGACCCTGATAGGTCCATGCTCCTTCCATCAAAGGTAATTCGTTTGTTTTATACGATCCTGGTAACAATAATTTTTTATTTTCAGAAAAAGCGCGTCATGGTCGAAGGCAGCAGTGTTACCAAAGAAGGCGTAACGATCCAGAAGACTGAAAACGTTGAAGATGAAGATGAAGTAGTCGTAAAAAATTAATGCTGTTGTCATTCTTAACCGTAGTTCTTTCGTAACCTTGTGTCGTGATTGCGGTGCTTTGATTCCTGTCTCATTTCGATGTTATTGTAAACGCTACTCGAGAAGATCATGTGGTATTTGCTAATAAATTTTATGACGTAAGACTGGGTTTATCAGCAGAAAAAAAACAAGCGTGGGAAACGGGACCCAACGTGACCAAGGACTCAAGGTAAGTCAAAAGGAAGGCGTGAGAGAGGGCTTAGAGGACGCAAAAAGCTGTCAGTAAGGGCGTAGGCCGCGTGCGATCGCGACATTTTGGTGTCTCGCGCAGGTGTCCTGATTTTGCCCCGATTTTGCCGCGCACTTTTGCCGCGACACAAAATCAGGTGTCCTGATTTTGCCGCGACACCGATTTCGCGAGTCGCCCACGCATTCAATGGCTACACCTCGTTTTGCCCTGCGCGAGTCAACCGCGAGTGTCTGAGTGCGTACTCGGCCACATAGCAGGAATTCGGACAGGTCGGAGGACCCCGCCTCTAGACGTAAGTTTCCCCACTTTCCGGTCGTTATTGCTATATGTCGAACGTTATGACGTGGAACTTATGCGATGTTGTGTCTGAGAGGGGCCACTCTCGCATGGCACTGAAATCCCAAAACACTTATCTTGTTCGAACACTGCTTTCAACTGACCTATGAAGCGAGAAGTAAGTTTCATGGGACGTGCCCATTAGCTCGGACGAATATATATAAATGCTGTGCAACTTAGGAGGAAAATTTCCCACTGGTTGGAATCAGGCTACATGATGCGCTTGCATGTGGGACTCACAAGGGAAAGCACCTGATTTAAACTGGTCTTTCAAAAAGAGACATGTATAAATGGAATAAGTTTGAAACGCTTGATTCAGATCGTTCCTGGTTGCGGCGCTTTATCGTAAAAGCAGAGCATGAGCTTTTTCTGTGCGTTGGCATATACACAATATGGGAACATTGCCTATAGTAGGAATTTGCCCGAAGAAAGTGCTGGATCAAAAACATCGGATCGTGTTCTTTTTCACTGATAAGATACTTGAAGGCGGCATCCAGGCAGATCTGGACCTATGGGGATTTTACGTGAAAAGTACTTTTGGGGCCCTAACTAAGACAGTGCTCAAGCGGCAGCGCAGGTAGTGCTCTAATGGCTGAGACATTCCCCTCGAAACTGGACCCCGCCATCGTACTTCGCATGAATTCATGGCGCAAAGCGTGGATTTTCGCGCGAAACTGCCATGAATCCATGCGAATACGATCGCGGGGTCCAGTATCGAGGGGAATATCTCGGCCGTTAGAGCACTATAGGCCGGCCGCACCTTGCGCACTCTCCCGCAGGGCAGGAGAGTGCGCAAGGTGTTTATTGCGCGACACTCCTCTTTCCTCGTGCACTCTCGCCGTCTGTTTTCTCTGCGCTTCTTCCAGTGCCTTCAATGTACGCAACAGCGTTGCTCTCCGTGCGCAGCGCGGACGGCCTATACCTGAGCTGCCGGTTCGACAGTGGCTTAGCTAGGGCCCCAAAATTACTATCCACGTGAGATCCCCATGTGTCCAGACTTGCCTGGACGCTACCTTTAAGGCAGTATATTAGCATTTAGAAGATGATACCGGATACCACTTAGCCCTTGAACATGCAAATTTCTGCAGGAATAAGGTATTAGGTTGGTGCAAAAGTAATGCGCGTTTTGCGAGTTCTCACTTTGACGTGCTATAACTTTCTAAAAGATCCATATTTCTCAGCGCGGCAAAATCCATCAGAGGCACCAAACCTCTCTCTATACAGCGCACCTTAATTTGTGCTGACATCGCAAAACGGTGAAAAAATATGGATTGATAAGCAAAAGAAATCTTTTTCGGAAACCTCGTTTTTAACTGATCATAACTTCTTTCAAGATTTGTTGGTATAAATGAAAACTTGACTGTCTTGTAGCCGCAAGCCAGTAGTACAAAAAAATTGAAAAGGGTTCAAACAAAGAAGATTTGAGAAAAGGAAAAAAGAATATTTAAAATTGTCCGCTTTTTTCGACATTTTTTCGTAGCCCTCAAAATCACAAAATATGGAGATTTTTGATTTTCTGTGTACTGAACAGCTTCTACATTTCTGCAAAAACCGTCAACAGGAGGTCCACCCTTACGCTTACAGGAATGGGCAAAACTTTGGTGATTGCCCTCTTCAAAGGAAATCTATGGGCCACAGAATGTTCAAAACCATCACTCATGTTGGGGCACCGCCCCTTTGACAAGTTTTGACATGGCCTATGCACTAGATCTTGAGCATTCGCCACGTCAAAACTTGTCAAGGGGGCGGGACTGGAGTACCGCCCCCTTTTTCCAAACTCGTCCGAAGCGATTTTCTCGCTTCAGATTCCACCTTTTTCGATCACACTTGAAATGTTGCATTAGTCAGGATCCGTGCTCTCACACTGTGTCAAGATCCCAGTACCCCCAAGTTGAACTGGACAATGCCTTTAAGCACATACAATCCCCAGGACTGTTTGTTTCGCAAATGATACGATTTTCGCATGCTCTATCGTGTGCTCCGTTTCGCACTAAACGCTGTTTCAAATTGGGGGGGGGGGGGAGAGGGAATCTCTACGACTCTCAACGAGTTCTGCAGGCCTGATTTTCGCACGCACGCCCTAATATCTTTGCTCATCTCATCCAAAACGAAGGGAAGGCAGAATGGCACCTTGCTGTTGTTAGCCACACTAGGTAGTCTGCTGTTATGACTTACTCGCACCCCTCTAGGTGGATAACCATTGGCTTGCGCTACCTGGATGCCTTATCAACAGGTTAAAGCGGGGGGTGCGGCACGCGACCGCCGGATACGACCCCCCCCCCCTTGGGCCGGACCTCGGCACGACCCACCCCCATTCCCTACCCCCCCCCCCCCCCCTCCTCCCTCCCGAACTCCCAAGCTAGCTCTTGAGCTTCGGATTATGTGCAGACCAGTGCGTCACCTCTGCTTCGCAAAGGCTCGCACTGGCCCCACTGTCTGTACGCCTTACTATTTCCCGCACATTAATGACATTGAAACTCACCGCGCTATGCGGACTATCACGAATAATTTGTAAACAACTATTCATTTCAAAAGCTTTTCCATATTAGATCGGTAACTTCGCGTGAATGAAACTTTTTCCAAAAAAAAAAAACAAATGCAGGTTTGGATTGGTTTTCGGACTTTCCATGGCTTCGTTTTTGCCGTAAGATACAGTAATCACCGTGGGCTACAACTCTGTGCAAAAATCTTCTCAAATGATAAGGCAAAATCTTGGCAAATTGAACATTTACGCAACCAATCCTTTTTGGCGCCGTTTTCGCAAAGTAATGAACTTTTGCTCCACGATGCCTTTACCAACCTTGCATGTCAGTAACAGTAACTACGCCAGGCTTCAAAACACCGATGGTGGGGAGATGGTTGGCGAGAACGCCGACCATACCAGCAAGTGTCGGCACATCAACTTGCTTGACCACGGCATTGTTGTAAAAGGCCTGGATGAAAAAATTTATTGTACTATCTATGTCATAAAGCAACCCAAGAGGATATAATGATATACAATAAGAAAGCACAACTAAGTATGAAAATGAATCATAAGCAAAAAACATCAATTTCGATAAAATTCCGTGAACTTAGTAAATCTGAACAATCAGCTCAGTTCAGTTCGCAAGAAAGCAGTAGATGGAACGCCATAGAATGCAAGAGGAATGTCTTACCGCGTCAGGGGAGGCAAATGTTAGTCGGAGCTCTTCAGGGTTGAGATTCTTCTGTGCCGAGCCACTGCGTTTGAGATTTGGCCAGAGCTGAAAAAAACACGCTGTCAACGCGCTGTTCCGTAGGTCTTGAAACAAAATACAACAGTTGTAGCCGTGCCACTGCAAGCTTTTACAGAGAAGAATTGGCAGAAAATCTGCCTTGAACTCAGAGAAGTAGAAGGCAAGCTGCGGTTGCACAAGACTAGCGCTGCTATGCAAAGTTAAAACTGGGTATTAGGAGGAGAATTTTAGGAACGGCAGCTATGATAAGCAACAACAATGGCCAATATTTTTGCATTAATCTGACACTAGATATCGGTCAAAGTAAAAAGCCTGCAAGGAACATAGAAAGCTGGGTAGTATGTGTAGTTTAGTCTCTTTCATTTTTCAACCTTGATTCCGTCGTCGAAAAATCACCAAAAATACCCTGAGTGACATCTGTTATTGAGCAAGCATTGAGCACGTACCGCCCCGGATAGTAGTCGTTGCTTGGTTGAGAGGTCACATGTGTTGTGTCATTTTTGCGGAATAAGGATTTGATCTTTTCAATAGGTGAACTCGGTCGTTTGTAGTTGGATAGGTCGTCGTACCTAAACAATACCCTTGATATACATTCCAAACCAGACGAATTTTAAGTAACACATTGTTTCTTCAAACCATAAATGTAAGATACTGAGTAGAAGAGCAGTTGCTTTGAGCTCATGCTTCTTCACCTACTTGGAAAAAGCAGGTTTAGTTCAAAGGAAGATAACAGAGGAGTGTGAGAAGCTGTTCAGATTTAAGAATGTTTTCGAGGATCTTGTCTCAAAGGGTGAGTCCGAAGGAAAAGTACCGAAATCACTCGAGTTATACTCATTCTTTTTTCGTTTCTTCATTCTTTCTACTCATTCTTGACCAGGTCGATAGCCTGCACGTAGGCGCATCCGACTAAATTTCTCTTTTTTCACAGGAAGTCTGTAAATCGAACAAAAGTTCAAAAATGTATAGTCAACTTCTCAAGATTTTCTGAGCATATGCAAGGCTGGGCATTTTAGATAATTCACAAATTGAATTCCAAGAGCTCCCTAGCATGATGTTGAGACAAATCTTCCTGACTTGTACACTAAACTGGGCTTACCCATTTGTAAACAATTTCCCGTCAGATCCCAAACGTAGTTCGCTGGTGCGTCTTCCACTCAAGGACAAAATTGACCGCTTTTTCTTGGGACCTGAAACGATTCTAGTTCGCAACCTCCCTTTGATAAAATTTCGGTTGAATCTTACTGTCTTCGACGGGTCTTTCATGGCTGGAATTGGCGGAGAGTCTCACATTTCCACTACCGCCTAACAGTTGGTTGGCCGTCTGAATGTGAATATGAAAGGCTGGGACATATTTTTGTAAACTACCCAGTACAGTTTAGCTGCTTTCTCTCCTCACTTTCATACAAAGCTACGAACCGCAATTGAAAAGATAAGTCAAAAAGCTAGGAATCAAATTCATGTTGAGATGTTTGAGGACACCAGAAAGCTTTGTATATTGATCCTAAGCCGCGTTTAAAGTTGTCCGGATGCCCGCGCGTGCCAGAGCCGTTCCACCGCCGTGCTGGAACCCTTGTAGACTTGGAGTGCGTGGACTGCGTGTTAATCGACCACTTTGCCGGCACTTCTGGCACGGCGCTAGCACAGCTGTGGAGCGGCGTGCGGACGACTCCGGACACTGTCTTAGTCTACCGAGAAATGAATTAGTTTCCCTAAGTATACCGAGGTTGGAAAGCTTTGATTTCTGAATCACAGCGAAAGAGACACTTGGGCTGCTGTAGATGTGCGAAGCGCTTTTAGCATGGATTTGCACCCATAACACCTCATAGCAACTTATTAGCAAACTGAGAGACGTTACAAGCAAACTGAAGTATCCCGTGTCCAATAAGTTTTTGGTTGTAAATTTCCTCAAATAATGAACCTAGCTGTTCCATACCTGTCTCTGTGGCGATGCACTCTTTTCTAGGGACAAGTGCCTTCGCAAACGATCAATTACCTGAAAATACTGTAGCTTTACCAGCACTAGCGTAGCCTAAGAGTCTTCTAAATGCGGCACGTCAAAAGTCACGCAAAATCCAATCGGAATAGGAAGATAAGCAGCATTTCGACTAATTACGCAATACACTGAGAAGAAATAAGCAAGGGTGGTTCTTCTAGATATGGCGGACGCGTCTACGGTATGAGCAGAGAACGTGCTTAGAGGCGGATTACATAATCTTTATTAGTGAATTTCAGCTAGCAGAGTAATCAGTGACCAAAAAAAGCTCGTGTGTTGATTACGATTTCTAAATAAAAAAGAAGAGGAGATAAAACGTTTACTGCAAACGGGATTATCGACTGATTACATGTCATGGCACATCAAATTTTGCGCAGAAAATCGCTTTTACATCACCGCCAACTAGCCCAAGCCTTTCTATGGGAAAAGACGCGACCATTGAGCTATGAGTGAGCTAGGAATTTAGGCATGCCATTCATTTGCCATGCATTTTGAATGACAGTTTCTAATATGCCGATTTAGCAGAAGACGACGGTTAGTCGAATCATGTTCTAATCATGCAGTTACGGTCACATTTTTCTCAATCGGAAGTAAGATTGATCGTCCGCTCCCACTTCCGCATACCTTAGGTGGGAGTGCAAATGATTAAGTTATTTACGATAACATTGTTTATGCATGTCAAATGACGTAAGATATCACCAATGCATCACCGTAGGCCAGCTGTCAACAACATTTCAGAAACTAAGCTGCGCTTCAATAATAGCAAGATGCATGGAAGCAAAATCACATCAGCTATCGTGGAGAAAGAAAATTAAAGCAAGTTTGATTTACTCACCAAAGTCCTCATCATCAGAGTTCGGATGAGAGAGAACTTGTGTTGTCCGAGTATACAATACCTCCATCTCTTCGCCAGTCCTTCGGGCTGACGGGTCTTTCACCTAAAGCATCCAAAAAAGTCATAAGCAGAAATGAAGATTTATTTCTTAGAGCAAAAGAACAGAAGAACAAAAGAAACAAAAGAAACAAAAGAACAATCAAAATGAGCAGGAGGTGAAGTGCTGCAGACGAGTGGATTTTGGAATGGGCATTTCAAACTGTCCTGGCTCCCGCCGTTGGTGTGATGGCAATTTTTCGACTCCTACCGTACACCAATATCTTCGGCGGTTGTCGGACTAGGTGCTTCGTTGAGTAGGGTTCAGAAAACCCACCGTATCTCCCCCTTGGTTCTTCAACAGCGGGTACCTAACGATACAGCGAATCCTAGCTGCTAGAACAGCTCACCTAGCTCGCTAAAACGCTGGCGCTTGCGACTCACAGAAAAACAGTTCGTGGAAATCAAATAAGAAATTGCGCAAATGAAAGCACAAGTTTGTACGCAACTGCTTATGTTACAAATAGATTTGGAATCACAGAATTTAGTGATGAGGTAAAGCTTATATGAGCACTTCAGGTTTGCAAGAAAATTTTTTAGGATTTCTAAGGAATAAACTTTGTAGAATTCCATTGAATCAGGATCTTATGATTTTACTGAAACGAAACGCACTTTCGGAGATGTTCCTGGCAAATAAGTTGCACGGAATACTTCCACATATTGTCGTCGGCCTCGTTTTGAGGTGTGAGGTTAAAGGTGCGTTAATATTGCCACAGGGATTATGAACGCCATTATGCAAGATTATTAAGGCTATTACTTCGGTCACTGCTGAGGCCTGCAGATTTATGAAATTATGATAAGCGCTTTTTTTTATTTCGGAAGTTTCACATCCCATATGAAAATTTCTTTGTGCTACGTATTTTATCACGTCTATGTTCTCTGTAATGCTTTTTCTTGGAGGACTTTAATATTGCAATGTTTCATATTCATTCTCTTTTTTAGCTCCCAAAATATGACCAATTTATCCATTTACAGCTATGAATTTTTTGAACTCCCTAAAAAGCGAAAAATTGTCAAAATAGCTCTCAGTAGAGTTTGTTGCTTTTTCCTGTTTCATTCTATTGGCACACTTCATCAAAATTACTTCAAAATCGTCCTATAATGCAAAATTTTCATTGATTGGAACAGAGCTAATGCCCTCTTATAGATTATGGCCACATAGACAGACTATACAAGTCAACTTTCTTATTTTTTCTGGTAAGATTATGAGAAGTGCTCATAAAAGCTTTACCTGCTTTTTCTATGATTCTGGAATTGATAAAAAGAAGCAATAGGAAAACATGGGTACAAACTAGCGCTTTCTTTCGCGCAATTTCTTTTTGAATTCCTCGAACTATTGCTTTTCTGTGGGTTGCAAACGCCAGCGCTTTAGCGAGCTAAGTGAGCTGTTCTAGCAGCTAGGATTCGGTGTATCCTTAGGCACCTGCTGTTAAATCAACGAAGGGGCGTGGCTTAGTGTATACCACTAATGGATGGGTACCTAACGCGCGCACCTCGGCTGGGTACCTAACGCCCGCCCCCCATCTACAGGTTGACATGAAAAAGGCAGCTGTTTGAACGTTTTGAAGGTAAGTTAATGGCCTGCGGCACCCCCCCCCCCCCAAAACCTGCGGCAGCCGCAGGTTTGAGGGGAGGTGCCGCAGGCCATTAACTATATCAAAAAAAAACATTTTTAGCGGACAATGTTTATATGAATCAATAGCCTAAACCTCGTAGATTCCATAGGGATGTTTTGAGCCTGATTCGTCTTCTTAGCTCTGACAAGGAAAGTTACTTAGTCGAAGTGGCGATTCGGAAGGAGATCTATACCGATGGATAGAGCTTAAAACGCTGATCTCAGATATACCTTCTATATCTGCGACGCGTTGTTCTGAAAAAAGTTATGAGCTTTTCTAAGGCCAAATTTTCGTGCATTTTGAGTCGCAAAATCATGATAATTGCTACACAAAAGTGTGCAAGCTCAAGCAAACCACCTAGTAAGCATTGTAGGCCTAATCTGAGTTCATCCGAACGCTTTCGAGTGTTTTCCGACCATGTTGTTTATCCACAGGTAGCCATTTCCTTCCTAGATCGCACTTCCATTATATATACAAAAAAGCCCATAACCTCCATCTAGAAGAATGCGTCGCAGATATTGAAGACATATTTGAGAACATCGTTTTACGTCCTATCCATTGGTAATTTACAAAAAGTTTCCGACGCGACGCGTTCTTCTAGAGGTTATGGGCTTTTTTGTATATATAATGGAAGTGTGATCTAGGAAGAAATGGCGACCTGTGGGTAAACAACATGGTCGGAAAACACTCGAAAGCGTTCGGATGAACTCAAATTAGACCTACAATGCATACCAGGTGGTTTGCTTGAGCTTGCACATTTTTGTGTAGCAATTATCATGATTTTGCGATTCAAAATGCACGAAAATTTGGCTTTAGAAAAGCTAATAACTTTTTTCAGAACAACGCGTCGCAGATATAGAAGGTATATCTGAGATCAGCGTTCCAAGCTCTATCCACTGGTATAGATCTTCTTCCAAATCGCCACTTCGACTAAGTGAACTTCCCTTGTGAGTAATATTTGGTGAAAGCACAGCGATCAAAAGCTAAAAGCGATTTTGGTTGGCTTCTAATTCAATAGTTTGGAGGTCTTCTGAAGCGGGATTTCTGAGGTGGACAAAGAAGGAGTAGTGCTTTGTATTGAGTGCAAGAAGAGGTAGCTTACTCACCGTTAAGATGAAGTTAATCATGTTTTAAATTACTGCTTTATACAAGGTTGTTTACTGCTCGGAGACCTCAGAGTTCGCTGAAACTTGGCGCATAGGGGTTATTCGACACGCGGATTACGATAATATACTTGATTAGCGGTACGGTAGGTTACGGTAGGCATGCGGTATCTGCAAGTTTGTGTCATTGAACTTGAATTTTGCAGGACTTCAATAGTGTCGTCCAGTCAGTTTAGTTACACAGCTTGTACAGCGAAACTATATCTCTTCACTTCTGCATTGCATCTCTAATTGAATCAGATTTCTCCAAACACAATCGGCTGTGTAAACGGCAGCACAGAACAAGACACGAGAACATTTCCACATTTGTTATCGAAGCTCACAAGTTGGACGATTCTCACTTGCCTCCACTCTAGATTGATTTCGAAGTTTTCAACTTTAACATTATAGAAATGAGTGAAAGCAGCTCCAATGCTCCACAGCCGAGGGACGAGGCGCCCCCCTCCCCCCCCCCCCCCGATTCAGAACGGGTGGTTTTGAGTTGAATCAAGGAGTGAACTTCGGTGATCCAGGTGATGGTGATGAACATTTTTTCAATCGGATCTTCTGAGAAAACAGACTGAGCATCTTCACATCTTTATAAATCATTATTCATTTTCTTATATTAGCGTATACAACAGATAAATGTTTTTTTAAAGGTACATTTTACACAAAACCACAACAACAATATGCGTAAGTTCCTCTTTCCCGACACAAGTTCTTTAAATGTATCGTGCATTTCTATTGACGAGATCTTCACTTTCCCACACATCACACGTCGGTCGTCACACCATCATCCATTCACTGCAAAATCTCCTTTTCAAGAAATTCTATTGAAAACACACCTCGTACCTAAATCAAAACTCCATTTAGTATTTCTCTCAATTATTGAACCTGAGTTGTCAGAGGTAGTTGGGAAAGAGCGTGGCACGTCTAAGAACTTAGCTGCAGTCATTTCCCCTTAGAAACCGCTTTTGACCTTGGGTCGATACGACCCCCCCCCCTACCTACCCCCCCCTTACGACCCCCCCCCCCCTTGCGGCGTGCCGCACCCCCCGCTTTACCCTGCTTATCAATCGAAGCTTTGAGGGTATCGTCTGATGACACCATTTTCGCTGTTCGAGGCATATTCCCAATAACGCTGCACTTTGTACGAATCCGTCCGCTCTCTTGTTTAATCATGGACTATTTCAGCGGAGGCGAAAGCGCATTCCGCGCAAAACGCAGACGGCCTGTAACAATGATTACAGCCTTCCGCGCAGGGTGCAGAATCGCGGACTCGGGTGACTCCCCTTTTCTCGTGCACTACGCTTTTCTCTCTGTTGTATGTTACAGTCATGAGCTCCGTCTGCGTTGGATGCAATGGCGTTGCCTTTCGTGCAAAAGCGGACGGCCTGTTGCTATACCGTGACATATCTTTGTATCAAAAAATATGTTTGCATGATTGCCCTTTATGCATACTGACAGGGAATTTTACAAACGAAGTCTTCCTTAACTTGCAGAATTTCCGCCAAAAAACGCTTCACTATCGCTGATGGTGGATGAAGAAGAATTGGATAATTCGTGCTGTACAGTGAGAGGTTGGTAATGATGACAATTATTGAGCACCAAACTGAAATTTCTGGTGTTTGCGGGAAAATCTTAGGGCTGTACAAGGCATCGCAATCAATTTCAAGCCCAACCATGGAACTACTTCCTTGAGTATTTACCCTATTTTCAGGATATAAGACGCACCCTGATTGCTCTAAAAGCAAACACGCCAGAGGAATCCGCGTGCTATGGGATGCGCTAAAGGCAGTGGATCGGCAGAATGGACCCTTCTCGGATTTTGGTGGATTTAGTTAGTAGACCCCCCCCCCCCCAACTTCACTGTAGCCCAAACCCCACCTGCCAATTCATGCACGAAGCCCTGGAAAATGGGCTTTAAAACTCCACCCCGCCCACTTTCATTGAGTGGGCGTCATTGGTGGAAGTTTGAAGCACGTTTTCAGGACTCAGCGCATGAATCGGAGGGTGGATTTGGGCAACAGTGTACTTGGGTGGTCTACTACGCAAATCCACCAAAATCCGAGAAGGATGCATTTTGCCGATACACTGCCTTCAAGTGAGGATTGGATAGGAGAGACATTCGTCGCACCGAGCCGAGTGGCCGTATTCATCA